GGGACCCCGGTAACCCTCCGGGCCGGGTACTCCGACTCTTTGTTTTAACCGCCATGAAAGATCCTTCGAACCGTTCTTTGTCTCACCCTTAAATCAAATGATTTATTTTTTACTGCATAAATTTTACATCTGTATGCCAATTCTAAATGTAAAGATTGTCGGCGTAAACCTGAACAGGTCCAACCCGGTCTTACTGTGAGACCGGGTTGACGCGTCACGCTTGTGCGTAATCATAGGCGCATTCTGAGCTGAAGAGGATGTGAGATTCTGGGACTTTCCTCAGACGCCACATTGGAGACAGGAACAAGCACAATTGAGCAAAAGTTTCTTCATCAGGGAACATTTTCTAAGTGAAAAGTCTCTCTGAGAGACCGGGTTTGGAAAACTCGCTTCAGTGGAAGGAACCTTCCCGCATGCGCTCTGGTTCTGCAACACGTTCCAAGCCCCCCTCCACATCTTCAGCTCGCTGTGCACCTTCTGTACGCGCTGACAGTGAGCTGCGCTGAGCAATGTCCAGCTCAGATGTTCTGAAGGAAATCTTTTCTTGAGTGATTTAGCTACATCTGCGATGGGCGTAACGAATAGTGTCAGTTCGTCTGCATGCGTCGGGGTAATTCTTTCTTTTCTTTCTCCGTCAAAATAAACGGCCAAATACGGGAACTGTCCGGTCAACACAAGCCCTGCTTTCAACTGTTTTGTTTTCTTGTGAAAATTGTTGGAAAGAAATATAATTTAACTTGATTAACACCAGAGCCAGGCGCACTGCGCCGTTATCTCCGTCGCTGTAAATGAGGGAAAAACAAAATGATCGGATCCTTTTCTGACCTTCCCCACCTACAAAGTTTAATTACAACAATCAAACGTGACAGAGCCTGGATTTGTATTCTGAACAGTCTAAACATGTTTTAAAAAGAAACGTATGACAAAAGTGGCACCTGCACAGTAAAACCACCAACAGGGTGAAGAATATCAAAATATTGTAGGCAGAGACGGGCTACAACTTCTGGATCCACTTTATATAAATCGTTTTATTGACTATCTTCTTATGAAAGATAGCTTTGACGTACACGAGCGACCGGTACCGGCTGCTGTCACCTGTTGTGAGCAGCGTTCTGCTGTCTGAGGGTAGGCCCCGCCCACAACGCCGCGGCTGCTGCAGTGTTTTCTTTACTGTGGGAAACGGGTAATAATGGCTCTTTGATGGGAACAGGTTGCCGACCCCTGGTTTAGCGTGACGTCTGAGATATATATATATATATATATATATATTTTTTTTTTTTTTTTTTCTTGCTTCGAATCTGGGAGGGTGGAACCCCAGCTCCAGCTATGGACGAGCCCCCAGTGGGCCCAACTTGATATTTTTTCATGGGGCCCAAAATCTCTGGCAGCCCCCTTCCTTACGCTTATAGGTTAACTTTAACCTAGAGACCTCATTCAAGTTTCAACAAACTCACAAGACTTTCAGCTATTATTGGCTAAAAAATCTTTTCGATATCCATTACAGTTTTTCTAAAATCACAGGTAGAAGTTAAGGTACGGCTTGAGATTTTCAGAAAAAAATCACAAAAATTATAATGAGCAGAGATAGGAGCAATGACCCTCTGCTCCATTTCTGGCATTGTCCTGAGAAAACCGCAAATCTGATTGAAATTAGACGCACACTGGCTTGCAGCTAACGAATATACCTTCGTTTTGAGCTATAATTCATGAATGTACTCCAAACATCGTGGCCGTACGGTTCCTTTTTTTGAGAATTATTAAAATTAAAAAAAATGTCTCTCACCACTCTCACCTGAAAATTCCACACTCTAACATTTGACCTTCACATTTTCTGGAAAAACTCTTTCCAACACCCAGACCGTTTGGAGTACCGAAACAAGTTATATCTCAAAAAGTAGGAATTCTTGTCAGCTTTTCAGAATGGAACTTAGCCGTAAGAAAACCACCTCTGATCCTTGGCTGAAAAATGATACACGTAGCCTTAGGCGGCGTTGTAGGGCGCTAGAAAGAAGGTGGAAAAAGGACAAGCTACAAACCTCTAAGCATCTTCTGATGGATGCTCTTGACCTGTATCAGAGGTGTTAGATCAGCCAGGAACAAATACTTTGCATGCATAATCTCACAACACCAGAGTGATCAGCATAAACTTTACAGCACTGTCAACTCCATCTTGTCGATAACTGAACCTGGTAGTATTGATCCCTCTGTGTCATTGTGTGCTGAGCTCCAGACCTTCTTTCGTCACAATGTCCGGGACATTAGGGATAGTCTTGTGCAACCAGGATCTGGCTATCCTGATGTACCACTAGAACCTCCTTCATTCTCTAACTTTGCTCCCATATCTCTTATTGAATTGGCAGATCTGATTGGAAATATGAAACCAGCTGGTTCTGCTGAGGACCCTTTGCCCCCTGAGGATGGTGGGTGATATCATCCCTATTTTGGGCCCCACCATCTTAGACATTTTTAACTCTAGCTTGGCCACAGGGGTATTTCCTACTTCTTTTCAAAATGCGATTGTGCAACCAATTAAAAAAAAAACCCGATTTAGACCACTCAAGCCTTGCAAACTTCTGTCCAATCTCCAAATTACCGTTTTCATCTGTCCTTGAAAAGATTGTCTATTCACAGATTACAGCACACATTAATATTTTTTCTCTGGTTGATGTGTTCCAGTCTGGGTTTAGGCCACTTCACAGTACTGAATCAGCCCTTCTTCGTGTGACCAATGACATCCTGGTGGCCTCTGACTCTGGGTCTCCTGTTTTGCTCCTTCTATTAGATCTTTCTGCAGCATTTGATACCGTTGACCATGATATTTTGCTGGATAGACTTGAGTCATGGGTAGGGCTTAGGGGTACCTCACTTCAGTGATTTTGCTCATACCTGTCAAACAGTTTTCAAGGTTCAGTTGGTTAATTGTTCCTCTACATGCCTTCCACTTCCATGGGGAGTCCCGCAGGGGTCTGTACTTGGGCCTCTCCTGTTTTCAATCTACATCCTCCCCCTAGGTTCCTTCCTGAGGAAATATGGCCTGGGCTATCATATCTATGCAGATGATTGCCAGATCTACCTGGCTTTGAACAAACCAGGCTTGCTCTCTCTTCTGGAACAATGTTTGGCTGAAATGAGGGTTTGGCTTGCCAACAATTTCCTGAAGCTGAATGATTCTAAGTCTGAGGCACTCCTCATGACCCCTAACAAAACCATACACTTATCTTCTGATTTGGACACTTTCCCATATGACCTCAAGCAGTGTTACCAACCTGGGGGTGAAACTGGATACCCACTTTTACATGGGCCCTCAGATTAACGCAGTTGTCAGATCGTGTTTTTACCAGCTGCACAGACTAGTTCGCTTAAAACCGATCCTGAAACGAGTGCACCTAGAATCCGTAATTCATGCTTTTATCATCTTCCGTCTAAATTACGCAAATTCCATTTTAATTTGGTTTACCTGCCTCCGCTCTTAGGCTTCAGGTCGTACAGAACGTGGCAGCCAGGTTTTTAACAAACACCCCTAGTAGAGACCATATCACACCTGTACTGGAGCAGCTTCACTGGCTACCTGTAAACTTTAGAGTCAAGTTTAAAATCCTGATTTTTGTTTTTAAGGCCCTGAATGGTCTGGCTCTGGATTACCTGTCTGATCTTGTGACTCGTTATGTGCCAAACCGGGCGTTGAGGTCTGCTGATTGCCTGCTGCTTCGTGTTCCAACAATGAAATACAAAATGCGTGGGCAGCGTGCTTTTGTCTATGCTGCTCCAACACTCTGGAAGGATCTTCCTTTTTCAGTGAGGCTGGCACTGTCTCTCCTCCATTTCAAGTCACTACTTAAGGCTCACTTTTACGACCAGGCATTTTAAAATCCCTGACTTTAATTATTTTACTATGTGTTTTTATTGACTGTGATTATCTGCTTTGTTGTGTATTCTATTGTTGACCGTGTTTTGTTTTTATATTGTGTTTTTACTTTTTATTCTGTACAACACTTTGGTCGGCTGCCATGTCATTTTTAAATGTGCTTTATAAATAAAGTTGGTATGGTATGGTACATCTCCTGGTCTCCTGAGAGTTCATATTGTATGGGTGAAATATCTACATAAAGAAAAAAACATGACTACATTATATATATATATATATATATATATATATATATATATATATATATATATATATATCAGGGGTGTTCCAAGAAGGGTACTTCACGATTCAATTCGATTTCGATTATGGAAGCTTCGATGCTTCGATTATTTGATTATAATGATTTTTGGTTCGATTCGATTATTGGTGCCACGATTCTTCGATTATTGACATTTGTAATGCTTTTTTTCATACAAGATTGTCTTCTTCTTTATCTACATTTGTAAATAAATAACCTATCAATTAATTCAGTTCCTCTAAAACTACTCTCTGTAAGTAAATACTTTTTTTTAACATTTAACTATTTTTCAAAGACAAATTCTTATTTTATGACTGTGTGATGTGTAAATATTTGCACTTTGACCAACTTAACTTAGACCAGGGAAAGCTTTACTTACACTAGTGTGTCTCCTCCATTGTTGGGAAACACTGAAAACAGGCAAGCCCTGGATTCAATGAGGTAATTAATTCAAGTAAACAAGATTTTTACTTTCAGCAAATTTATTTAATGGAAACTTAATGAGTCTGGCATATGATAACATTATAAAAAAGCTGCCATACAGATCAAAAGTGCATTCCTCAAAATAAAATAATTCAGCTTATTCAGTCTGGAATACAGAAAAAAGCCCTGCTATATTTGAAGGTAATATGTTGCATTTTTTCAGAACAAAAGTGCATAATTCAACTGAACATATATTCAGCCTGGAGCTTCAGTACAGTGAGGCGAACACAACAAAATAGAGCAGAGTGACACTCATACTCATTTTAAACTTAACTGACCTCCCATACTCCCTCCCCTCTCTCTTGTCCCCCTACATCCTCCTGTTGTGTGAGATGGGCAAATGTCAACATTGTGCTACTCATCTTCAACATTAGACTCTTCTTCATCGTCATTGTCAGAATCTGGAACACACACATTTTTGTGCAAGAATATCAGCTGGTCAATGTGCTCTGACTCGAGTGTGCTACGTTGGGCTGTTACTACATCTCCTGCAGTGGAGAATACTCGCTCTGCAGATACACTGAAGCCTGGAATGCACAGGTAGCGTTTGGCCACATTAGAAATCTTGGGGTACAGCATCTGATGAACACTCCACCAGTGGAGAGGGTCTTCTTGTAGAGAACGTGCTGAAGCAAGGCAGTACTTAGCCATCTCGTCCTTGGCTCTGGTGTATGCTGATTTGGGCTCTGGAGCTAAAGAGAGAGTGGGAGTGAGCATGGGTGAGCGAGAATGTGAGATTGAAAGGGTGTGTGTGTGTGTGAGAGAGAGAGAGAGAGAGAGAGAGTTAAGAGAGAGAATGAGAGTGGGAGATAAATTAGCCTCAGCCAATCAACTAGATGTAGAACTCAACAATTAAAAAAATAAAGATTCCCAGCTCCTACCATGCTTTGTGAACGTCGGTCCTAACAGGTTCTCAAGCAGAGTATACCTTCTTTTGGCTGGTGGTGGCAGCTCGTTCTCCTGGTCCCTCTGAGTGTCACTGGTCTCCGCTGCTGCTGCCCTGGCACTGTCCTCTGGGGTCACTTCCTTCATTCTCACCTCTTGCTACATGTAAATTGAGAAGAGAAAATACAACACACATATTTAATTACCTTGGAACCACTTTAACCATACACATTTTCTATATAAATACACTTACCGCCAGTGATGCTTTCTCAGCAATCACTTTGCGATACGTCTGCTCTCTCTCCTCTTCAGAAAGGAAAGGTAATGCCTTAAAACAGGGGTCAAGGGCAGACGCTGTATACAGAAGGCTTTTCTCCACCTCACTGGTGTATCTGCTGCTGAGGTCATCGTAGATGGCCTTTTTAATATCCCGGACCAGTGGTGAATCTTCTGTGTTGGGTACTGTGCTCTGGAGGAGCTTTGTGTGCACAGGCACGATCATACAAACTGTGGGGTTTTTCTCCTCAGACATGAGTGGTGGCATCTTTCATCGGCTGTAGGGCGGAGACCATTGCTTCAGCATTCGAGACATCAGTTTCATCGAGAGTGGCAATGTCATTTTCCTTCTTTCTCAACTGAGGAGAGAGCAAGCAGATAGCAAGTTGTGTTATTCATAATTAAATATGTCCTTATGCTACTAACACGTCAGAATGCAGTGCACAACAGTTCACTATCAAGGCAGCTTAACTGTTTTTTTTTTTATTATTTGTTATAAATCTATAATGCAGTAAGCAATAAAAATGGTTCCCAAATTATTTTGCTATCAATAATACAGTAATTTTGATCAGTATAAAAATGGATAAGAGTAAATGACAATGATGTTTCTCTTACCTGAGGAGAGAGCAAGGTGGCAGCAATTGCAGGCTGTTGCTCGAGGAAATGTTCGGTCATTTCGTATGCACTATTCCATCTAGTGCATACGTCAGTCTTCAGTTTGTGCTGTTTGATACCAAGCAGCTTTTGGTTCTCCTCTAGCAGGTGGAGTCCGGTAGTACTACGGTGAAAAAATGTAGAGATCCGTCTGATCCTCGACAGAAGCTTTGCCAAAGCTGCCAGCTTGAGATCTTTCTGTGAGGCCAAGTTGGCAGTGTGAGCATAGCATTTCAGGTGCTCGTACTTCGCCTTCTGAGCTGCAACGACCACGTTGCTGGCATAATCAGTCACCAAAACCAAGTCTTTATCTGAGATCTGCCATTCTGCCGCAGCGTTCTCCAGGAGCTCACCAACATTTGCCCCGGTGTGACTCTCACTCATCTCTCGAGTTTGAAGAACATGACTCACCAACTTCCACCCGTTCTTGTCCGACGCGAGAACAAATTGCGCCGTTACAGTAATGAAGGATTTGGTGGCAACCGATGTCCACACATCACATGTGAGCGCTATCCTGGTTGCCTTCTTCATGGACTCCAGAACGCTTGTTTTGGTTTCCTCATAGAGGTGGGGGACATCTTTTTCTGCGAAGTGTTTTCGGTGAGGAAGTTTATAGCGCGACTTCATGGTATGCACCACTAACCGAAAACCCTTGTTGTTTACTACTGAATATGGGCGTAGATCTGTCGCAATAAAAGTAGCTATTGCTTTTGTAATGCTCCTCGCCTTCTCTGAGTTCTTCGGTAGTTTGGAGACAGTCTCCAGGATGGTCCCCAGTTTGGCGGGCACGGTCAGAGGTGCATTCTCGGTTTCTGGGTGAAAGCGTACAAGGTGCTGCCTCATGTTTGTGGTGTTGCTGAGATATTTTACTTTGGCTTTGCAGATTTTGCAAATTGCATAAGATTTGTCGATTGTCTTATTAGCTTTCTCATAAAATGCAAAGGACTTCCACACACTTGCAGTTAACCCTGGTATGGAGAGAATCGGCCGCTATCTGGAGGTTGCTGAAGCTGCCGCCATTTTGTATAGAGGTCAAATAGGTAGCGCCACTCACTTAACAGTCCGGGCAGCACGCACGTTAAGGCTCCGGTTACATGTTTTTATTTTTTAGTACCGGCTTTGCAACAAAACTTTGATGCTATGTTTTTTTAAGCATTGATGTTCATTAATCGATGCCGAAACAACATGTTAAGCTTTTAGATGCATCGCCACATCGATTAATTGCACCCACCCCTAATATATATATACATATATACATATACATATATATATATATAAACTGCGGGAAAAGTGTGATTGTGTAAGCTCATTAGAAAAAGTGTGGGTGTTAAAACAACCACACCTCTCACGGGTGTGACGCCCATGCCCACCCCTCTCTATTGCTGCCCCCACCCTCCCACAACCCCTATGACCTCTCCACCTTAAAAACTCTTGTCAAAATTCATGTGAAAACAGTTTTAAAGTTTATTTGTTATTTTGGGGTAATCTGCCAGTTTTATCTTGACTTTTTACAGCACCTCTGAGTGTCTATAAAAGCACTTTATGAATAGAATAGAATATTATTCTCTATTCTGACCCCTGACCTGACCTACTAAGGTCTCCCACCTGAAGGCTGAGCTTCTGATGGTGCAGCTCCTAGGCTCACTGAGGCTGGTAAACAAAGAAAGCAGAGTATCTAACTTTTATATCCTTGATGACAGCTGAAACAACGTCAAACCAATGAACAATTCGGAGCGAAAATGGCTATTTTGTTGCAAATTTGCAGGAAATATCTAGAAGAACGTTCTACAGAAAGTAGCTAAGGGTCCTCAGAAATGTAGCTAGGTTCATCACTAGGCGTTAGGAACAGCGACAAAGTCGCTGAGTTGGCACTACCTCTCTCTCTGCTGCTAAAGCTACGGATAGCAAATGCTACAGGCTATGCCTGAGCGTGAAAGCGCATGAAGAAGCCTGCTCGACCCGAGCAGCTCTCTTTTTCTGTGATTTTACAGAAAAACAGGCAATCACAGTAAAAATGCCAGGGCTCATTCTACAGGACCGGGGCATTGCAGGAGAATGTATGAAGAGGAAATTTATTATTTCTACACATGTTTTGGCTGTCAAACTTCCATAATGACCCTTTAAGTTCTTCTTGGGTCATTTTGTTTGAGAAATCTTTTCATTTCTCTTCTTATGTAAACCAGCCATTCATAATATTGGTGGGAGTGTAACTAACCCTAAAATGACATCTTATTTTGCTTGTATTTTAATTTGGCACAACTTGCCTTTATTTATTATCTGTTTTAATCAACTTCCTGTTTGAATGAAATGCTTTTATTTTGAAGGGTACATTTCCTGTTCTAATAGTTAATGCAAGCTAGTTCAACAGCGATAAAAAGGACCAAAGCAGCTTTGACGGAGATTTAATATGGATTCTGTTATTAGTAGCCCCCTTGATAGAGGCACAAGCTCCTACGGTGAAATTGAGGGTCATCGTCATTAAATCCAAAACTTCATCAGTAAAGTGTCATCTTTCTTTCGGGGGGGGGGGGTATGCTACAACGATAGATATCTGGAATACATTTGATACCTGTCATAAAGCCTGACGACACTGGGTTACATTGTAGTAACACACCTCTAACACTAACCCTAACCCATGCCCTGTAACAGTAACGGCATAATTAATTTGCTCCGTTACCTAAACGTGTGAATGGGTGAATGACTGATTGTGTTGTAAAGCACCTTGGGGGGTTCCAGGACTCTAGAGGGTGCTATACCAAATACAGGCCATTTATCATTTTAATGCGGTTAGTAACGCCATTATACTTAAACTGTGTTACCCCATCACTACAAATAAATAAATAAGCAAATACTTATAAACATCTGGAATGATGTTATTTTAAGGAAATTATACCTAGGGAATCCATCTGCAGAAGAAGCCAACCCACAGCCGGGGAGTGGGGATCATTTACCACTTTTTGTTCATCCCACGATGTTCCTTCCTTTCATCTTTTCTCTTAAATCCAAAAGGATCCCCACTCAGAGGGAAAGGGGGCTCCTAGACGCCTCCGTGCACTGACCTGTTGTTGATGCTAAATATTGTGGCAGAAGCAGCTGGGGGCTGATGTTGAATATATGCTCAGCCAAAACCCAGAGCACTCCTACCCCCTTGGCTCATACCCAGATCCTCCATCACTTCCACCAGTTGACACAGACTAACTGTGACATCTTGACTGATTGCCTCATTGCCAGTGATGCAGAGTGGTATTTGGCATGTGGTGTGTAGCAGCGTTACTAGGAAACAGAGATGCCAGAGCTAAAGGCATGGAAGAGAAATGCATCTAAAAGACACTGGTTTTGGTTCATTCATTGAAATGTATTCCCATAAGTGTCTGTGCTTACATGCCATCACACTGTTGAGTCTTGCATCTGTAAGGCATCTTGTGACTTGCTGCCATTGCACAGGACTGTTCTTGTAACACTGTGAGAACTCCAGAAAGGTGGCACATAGCTTTCTGTGAGTCAGACTGTGCAGCGTGCTGCTCCAACAGGACACACTACGTCATGAGCGCACTTTTCAAAAGCATACGTCACTAAGCAGACCGTTAACCAAAAGAAAGCTGAGGATAAACTAAACAGCTGTCGTTAACACCTCTTTTTAGTGTCAGCTCATGACCCAGCTCACTTTCCCCAAAGAGGAAGGATAATTTTTAAAACCCTCGTTTCGGCATCAGGCTCCAGCTAAGACAGCCACAAATCACTCAATGTGATCTGGGCTTTAGTTTTAACCCTGCTTCAACACAGCTGATTTCAATCAGCAGGTGATTAACAGGCTTCTGAAGAGCCTGATGAGCTGCTGCACAGGTGACTCAGCCACTGAATCAGGTGTAATGGAGCAGAAAAACAAGGGAAGCATGCTGGATACCAGCTCTCCATGACCATGAGTTAGTGCCACTGCCTTAGATAGGACAGATGCTTCAGATTGGCGTAGATGGCCTCAGCAAGCACCAGGGGGTTAATGTTATCTTGATCTATTCAGCTAGCTGCTGTGTCCAGCTGCCACTTTCAAGTTTTTCCACACTGCAGCTGAACCCCAGATCTCTATCCAGCCTCAACAAGAGGACAAGCTCCAGAGCAGATGCAGCTCTAACTAACCCCCAACATGACCTGGTCGTCAGGCTCACTCGCCACTGAAAAACCTCTTTTCTCATGTCTTTGGCATAATCAAGGTGTAGCATAACTTCCACTTTAGGATACGTTCTGGTTTTCCTCAGCTCCAGTTGTACACTATTTTAGGATATTTTTACTTCAGTTTCACCCGCTCTTCAATTGTAGGGTTTGTTTGCTGTGTTGTGGCCTTGGTATTTTATCTAAACTTCTGGGCCTCTGTAGTAAATTTTCCACCTATCGGCCTTTGTCAGATGACGTATTGGGTGCTGTAGCGCATTGCATGATGGGATAGCTAGGTGTATTGTCAATGGAAGCATCCGTCGCTTTGTGTGTTGTGAGCTTATAAATCTGCAGAAAATGGTACGCTCCTGTTGTGTGAAGGGCTGGCATGCCAGGTCACACAGTTACAAGCCAAAACTTTATAATGACATGAGATGTAGCGTCTGAGCCTAAAATAATTGGATGTTAGTGGTTACTGGAGCGGGTGTGGCTCTATGACGCGTCTCCATGTGGAACATGTTTAAACTGTTCACAAAACTGATTGTTGTCATTAAACTTTGCATTGAATGAAACTTTACAATAAATAATGTTGAAAAGGTAACAGAAGGATCTGGGGTCTCATTTATCAAACATTGCGTAGAATCCTTACTAAACCCGTACTTAAGCTCAGCAAAAAAATGTACTTACGCCAAGTAGGTTTGTGATCTATCAAACGTGGAGTACGCACAGCTGCACGCAATCTCTGCTTCATAAATCAGAAACTATCTAGAAATGTTCTCAGCTGCTTTTTAGTCACATCCCGCCCTCACCACGCCCACTTACTGCCATAAATAATCAGTGCAAAGTGCCTTGTGGATCTCATGCATATACATAAGCCGGCTTGTTGCAGCATTTCGATCACGACCGCAGATCAAGGAAGCGCAATTTCACAGAAGCAGAAATTGAAGTACTTGTGGGTAAGGTGGAGAAATGAAAGGAAGTGCTTTTGCAAAACAAATAAGAGAAAATCCACGGAGTGGCACAGCGTTGCTGAAGCCGTCAATGCTGAGTTCTTCAGCGAGATCTGTGGCCAATATAAAAGAAATGATCCAATCACGATTCGATCCCCAGACTCCCGAGTGAAAGTCACGCATGCTTAAAAGTTTAAGTTAAAAGTTGAAGTCCCATTAGTTGTCACACACACTGATGTGTGTGCGAAATTTGTTCTCCGCATTTGACCCATCCCCTGGGGGAGCGGTGAGCTGCAGACACAGCTGCACTCGGGAACCATTTGGTGGTTTAACCCCCCCAATCCAACCCCTCATTGCTGAGTGTCAAGCAGGGAGGCATTGGGTCCCATTTTTTTCTAAGTCTTTGGTATGACCCGACCAGGAATTGAACCCTGATGTCCCAGTCTCAGGGCGGACACTCTACCACCAGGCCACTGAGCTGGTCAGCCAAACAGCTAACCAGTCAGCCAAACAGAGATCTCTCCTGTACAAGTAGCCAGGACGCATGATCAATTGGGTCACAGTGACAGGACACACACTGTCACAGACGCATGACATTCTGTCTCAATCCGTCCCCCTGCTGATATTGTGCATTCCGTATTCTGTGCTTCAGGTTGTGTGTGTGTGCACGTGTGCGCGTGTGTGCGTGTGGGGGGTCTTGTTCTGTGTGAAAACAAAGCAGTACAAGTGATAATGCGGCAGGATTTCATAATTTTATCCTTCTCAGCAGCAGCACTGCAGGTGCTCTCAATGTCCAACATGTGCGTAAGCCAGGTCGTTAGTCATTTTAAAGTTGCGCACATTTTTCTGCTAAGTTTTCTTTCATAAATCCCAAAATTTGCATGTAAAGTTGCTTACGCAGTTGTCCAACACCGTTTTCTGCGTAAGCAAGCTTGATAAATGAGGCCCCTGGTCTTTTTTTAAGAGTCTCCTCATAAGTAGCTAAGTATCCTCTCTTTCCGGTCGGCTCATGGGTACCCGGAATAACCAAAAAATAGATGCAAGTCAATGGGGCTAAAAACTCTATTTTCTAACCCGCTTTGCCTCACGCACTGGATCACACATATGTTGTACTTCAGTTTAAATGAAAAGTAATGATGGGCGTTTTGACCACGCCAGTCACGTACTTTGAGATTTATCCGCTTGTAAAAGTTTGTAATTAGCCTCGTCTCTCGTCTCGTCTTCCTCCGCTTATCCGGGTCCGGGTCGCGGGGGCAGCATCCCAACTAGGGAGCTCCAGGCCGTCCTCTCCCCGGCCTTGTCCACCAGCTCCTCCGGCAGGACCCCAAGGCGTTCCCGGACCAGATTGGAGATGTAACCTCTCCAACGTGTCCTGGGTCGACCCGGGGGCCTTCTGCCGGCAGGACATGCCCGAAACACCTCCCCGGGGAGGCGTCCAGGAGGCATCCTGACCAGATGCCCAAACCACCTCAACTGGCTCCTTTCGATCCGGAGGAGCAGCGGTTCTACTCCGAGTCCCTCCCGAATGTCCGAGCTCCTCACCCTATCTCTAAGGCTGAGCCCGGCCACCCTACGGAGGAAACTCATTTCGGCCGCTTGTATCCGCGATCTCGTTCTTTCGGTCATTACCCAAAGCTCATGACCATAGGTGAGGATTGGGACGTAGATCGACCGGTAAATCGAGAGCCTGGCTTTCTGGCTCAGCTCCCTCTTCCCCACGACAGATCGGCTCAGCGTCCGCATCACTGCAGACGCCGAACCAATCCGCCTGTCGATCTCCCGATCCCTCCTACCCTCACTCGTGAACAAGACCCCGAGATACTTAAACTCCTCCACTTGAGGTAGGACCTCTCCCCCGACCCGGAGGTGGCAAGCCACCCTTTTCCGGTCGAGAACCATGGTCTCAGATTTGGAGGTGCTGATCCTCATCCCAGCCGCTTCACATTCGGCCGCGAACCTACCCAGCAAGAGCTGAAGGTCAGAGCTGGATGAAGCTAGGAGGACCACATCATCCGCAAAAAGCAGAGACGAGATTCTCCTGCCACCAAACTCGACACACTCCACACCACGGCTGCGTCTAGAAATTCTGTCCATAAAAGTGATGAACAGAACCGGTGACAAAGGGCAGCCCTGGCGGAGTCCAACCCTCACTGGGAACAGGTCCGACTTACTACCGGCTATGCGGACCAAACTCACGCTCCTCTGGTAAAGGGACTGAATGGCCCTTAACAGAAAGCCACCCACCCCATACTCCTGGAGTGTCCCCCACAGGGTGCCCCTGGGGACACGGTCATAAGCCTTCTCCAAATCCACAAAACACATGTGGATTGGTTGGGCAAACTCCCATGCCCCCTCCATCACCCTTGCAAGGGTATAGAGCTGGTCCACAGTTCCACGGCCAGGACGAAAACCACATTGCTCCTCCTCTATCTGAGATTCAACTATCGATCGGACCCTCCTCTCCAGTACCTTGGAGTAGACCTTTCCAGGGAGGCTGAGGAGTGTGATCCCCCTATAGTTGGAACACACCCTCAGGTCACCCTTCTTAAAGATGGGGACCACCACCCCGGTCTGCCACTCCCTAGGAACTGCCCCCGATGACCACGCAATGTTGTAGAGACGTGTCAACCATGACAGCCCTACAACATCCATAGCCTTGAGATACCCAGGACGAACCTCATCCGCCCCCGGGGCTCCGCCGCTGTGTAGTTGTTTGACTACCTCAGCAACTTCTGCCCCCGAGATCGGACAGTCCATCCCCAGGCCTCCCAGCTCTGGTTCCTCCTCGGAATGCGCATTGGTGGGATTGAGGAGCTCCTCAAAGTATTCCTTCCACCGTCCGACTATAGCCTCAGTTGACGTCAGCAGCTCCCCATCCCCACTGTAAACAGTGTGAGCGAGTTGCTGCCTTCCTCTCCTGAGGCGCCGGACAGTTTGCCAGAACCTCTTTGGAGCCGATCGATAGTGTTTCTCCATGGCCTCACCAAACTCCTCCCACGCCCGAGATTTTGCCTCGGCAACTGCCACTGCTGCACCCCGCTTGGCTATCCGGTACCTGTCTGCTGCCTCCGGAGACCCACAGACCAGCCACGCCCTGTAGGCCTCCTTCTTCAGCCTGACGGCTCCCCGAACCTCTGGTGTCCACCAGCGGGTACGGGGGTTGCCACCACGACTGGCACCGGCCACCTTACGGCCACAGCTAGCAACAGCCGCCTCGACAATCGCAGAGTGGAACAAGGCCCACTTGGACTCAATGTCCCCCACTGCTCTCGGGACGTGGTCAAAGCTCTGCCGGAGGTGGGAGTTGAAGACCGTCTTGACAGGTTCTTCTGCCAGGCGTTCCCAGCAGACCCTCACTATGCGTTTGGGTCTGCCAGGTCTACGCGACATGTTCCCTTGCCATCTGATCCAACTCACCACCAGGTGGTGATCAGTTGACAGCTCCGCCCCTCTCTTCACTCGGGTGTCCAAAACATACGGCCGCAGGTCAGATGATACGACTACAAAATCTATCATCGACCTGTGACCTAGGCTGCCCTGGTACCAAGTGTACCGGTGGGCATCCTTATGTTCGAACATGGTGTTCGTTATGGCCAAACTGCGGCTTGCACAGAAGTCCAATAACAAAACACCGCTCGAGTTCAGATTAGGTGGGCCGTTCCTCCCAATCACACCCCTCCAGGTCAAGCTGTCATTGCCCACGTGAGCATTGAAGTCCCCCAGCAGGACAATGGAGTCCCCTGATGGAGCACTATCTAGCACTCGTCCCAGGGACTCCAAAAAGGGTGGGTACTCTGAACTGATATTTGGCCCATAAGCACA